TTTGTTAAATTTGGCTAATTTTTCTAGCGTATAGTACCAGTGATAGAAAATTTTCTACCAGTTTTCTCTTAGATCACTGGCCACTGTATATTTTATTTTAATATTCCATATTTCTTCCCACTGATTTGTTAATATGTTATGTCCTATGTCTTTGGCCCATTGTACTTGGCAATTTTTAACTTGCTCCTTTTCGGTGGAAGATAGATGCTTTTGAATTGTAGTGTTGGAGGAAAGTTCTGAGAGTGCCTTGGACTGCAATAAGATCCAACTAGTCCATCCTCCAGGAAATAAAGCCCGACTGCTCATTGAAGGGAAGGATACTAGAGACAACGTTGAAGTACTTTGGCCACATCATGAGGAGACAGCAAAGCCTAGAGAAGACAATTACGCTGGGGAAAGTGGAAGGTAAAAGGAAGAGGGACCGACCAAGGGCAAGATAGATGGATGGCATCCTTGAAGTGACTGGACTGACCTTGAAGGAGCTGGGGGTGGTGACGGCCGACAGGGAGCTCTGGCATGGGCTGGTCCATGAGGTCACAAAGAGTCAGAGACGACTGAACGAATGAACAACAACAACCTTTTCGGTGGACCACCTTAATAATTGTTGGTACAAACATTTAATTAATTTTTTATCTTTTTCTAAGATTGACTCCCACACCCCTTGTTCTTGGTTAAACCCGATTTTTTCATCTTCTTTAAATCCTTGCTGAATTTGATAGTATTGTAACCATGTTATTTTTTCGTTTAGTACTCTAAGTTCCTCAAGAGTTTTTAGGGTGAATTTTTGTTCTCTTGTTCTTTTCAATAATTGTTGATATGTAAGCCAATTTTCCTCTCCCAACTCCCTTTTGTGCCTCGTTTCAACAGGGGATACCCACATTGGAATTTTGCCATTATAGATTTTTAAATATAATATCCCTGTAGTTTTTGTAAGCTTACATATAATCTATCAATATACCTGCAAGGCTAAAACTCTATGCTAATTTCCATTTTGAACCATCTAATACTCATGCACACATCAGAAGTATCAGTCTCCAATTACAAAGACACTTTGAATTACATGGCTTCATCTGTGTGTGCTGCAAGTACACTCTATTGTTTTTACTGCTGCTTTTTAAATAGTGGTTGAATTTGTCAAATTTTCCGATCTTTTAACAATTATTTATTCGTTTCAACACTAAGGAAACCCTACCAGCCATTCATTCAGCATCAGGTTCAAGCAATTAAGACCATGAAGAATAGCCCGTACCTTGGGAAGTTGGATCTGGCCACGGTGGTCCACGCTCTTGTTACATCCCGATTAGATTACTGCAATGCACTCTACGTGGGGTTGCCTTTGAAGACTGCTCAGAAACTCCAACTAGTCCAACGGGAGGCAGCCAGACTGCTCACCGGAGCGTCATACAGGGAGCATACAACCCCCCTGTTGTGTCAGCTCCACTGGCTGCCGATCCAGTTCCGAGCACAATTCAAAGTGCTGGTCTTGACCTACAAAACCCTATAAGGTTCCAGCCCAGTGTATCTGTCCGAACGGATCTCCCTCTACGTCCCACCCCGGAGTCTAAGATCTTCTGGGGAGACCCTGCTCTCGACCCCGCCTCTATCACAAGTGAGGTTGGTGGGGACGAGGAGCAGGGCGTTCTCGGTGGTGGCCCCCCACCTGTGGAATTCACTCCCCGGGGAAATTAGATGAGCGACATCACTCCTTTCCTTTAGGAAAAAACTGAAAACATGGATTTGGGACCAGGCATTCAGACAATCGGGCAGTTAAAGAAAGGACTTTGACAATGGTCAGGAAATGACTGATGGAATGGAACTATGGAACTCTGAAAGACGAAATGCTGAGCATGAGAATAGTTTTATATGATGTGTTATATACTGATTGTTTTGATTGTTTTAACTGTGATAATAGTTTTAACTATGGTTTTGTACATTATGTGTAATTTGTGTAGGCATTGAATTGTGCCTTTTTGTAAGCCGCCCTGAGTCCCCCCTCGGGGGTTGAGAAGGGCAGGGTAAAAGTACCCGAAATAAATAAATAAATTAGGCTGTTGCCATAAATTGGAATTTCAGATCTAGAATGAACTAACATTAGTGAGTTTGTGGGGTGTGGAGTGCTTGTTTACATTTACAGATGCATTTTCATTATTCAATCACATTTTTTTATTTCTTCTTTAACTCCCGGCTACTATCTATATGCAAACATGTTCTGCACTCATGTTTATTAAATTCTCCAAATGTATGAAGACTTCAAATATGGCAGGCATACATATCATTAACAGGTCCCACACAACAAGTGATTTCAGTTTAGCTGTTCAGCCTTCAGCATTATTTCTGTTGCATCATGTGAGGAGTTATATCAGATTTGAAGAATAGGAGGAAAATAAGGAGAAGCAAGACAAAAGATTTCAGCAAACAAACAGCTATGGAAAGCAAATAAAATGAGTCATGAAAGTTGAATGTGTCTTGAACTAGCCATTCTCTCTTTAATCTATCTATACACATAATAAAAGTGAAAATGTGTTTATGTGTGTATGTGGAGGAGGTGTCCACTTATACAGACAGCCTCCCACCTCCACAAACAGGCTATTTCTTCCTAGATGTTCTGGTTTTTCTCCTGAATGAACATCCCAGGGTTCCTCTCTCTCTCCCACCTCCACAAACAGGCTATAGTTCCAAGTATTGAGAAGCCTCCAAAGGCACTCTCTCAACTGACATTGTAGGTTATAGTGAGCGCCATGAACTTGTAGCCCAACCCCTGCCAATGTCCTTCGCAACACCAACCACCCAAGGAATGCTTTCATTCGGGAACCATTTCATCCTAGATGGTCTGGTTTTTCTCCAGAATGAACATCCCAGGGTTCCTCTATCTTTCCAAAGTTGCATGTCCCCACCCACTGCCTCTCACTTAGCCCTTTCCTACCCATTCCTATGCCACACAGCAAACAGGAATTGATCGGCAACTGAATAAGAGGTTTGGGAAGAATTCACCATGATTTAGAGGAGTTGTAGTTCACTTACATCCAGATAACTTTTCAACCCAATCAACAATGTATCTGAACCACACTTGGAACACAGACCCAACACAGACAACTGTGCATAAAGGTCTGGTTTGGGAGTGATTCTCTTTGGCTCTGGGAGTTGTCCCTTATCCAGAGAACACTGAACCCAGCCAACTACAGATCTGCACCAAACCTGGCACAAGGACCCAACATGGCCAACTGTGCATATAGGCGGGGTTTGGGGTTAATGACCTCTGATCTGGGAGTTGTAGTTTACCCTTATCCAGAGAGCACTGAATGCAGTCGATGTCGGATCTGAACCAAACCTGGCACACAGACCCAACATGGCCAGCTTTGAATACAGGTGGAGTTTGGGGTGATTTTGGGAATTGCAGTTCACCCACATCCTTATGCATTTTCTAATGGAAACATTCATAAAAAACAACAGGAAAGACTAACTTTTTTCTACAAATTACCAAACAGATATTACCTTATGCCCCCCCAAAAATAGGGCCTTTTTCAAATAACCCAGGCCAACATAACATACTGGAGGGGTTGGGGGGGGGGGGAGTGACCCACCTGTGTAGGAGTTGTAGTTCACCTCGCATCCAGGAATATTACTAAACTTCCCAAAACAAACAATGCCTTTCTCAAGTAACCCAGGCATCACCAGGTCCCCAAGCTAGTGTGAACATAAAAACACCTATGCAAACTGGAAAACAGAAGAAATGCTCAATGCACTGTAATGTGCATTAACATTCTGGTCAATGTAACCTACGTAATTAGTCTACAAATTTCTAAATGTCATTGAAAAAGAATTGCTTCTTCCATTAAAAAAATGCTTTTTATTTTGATAAATAATTGCTTTAAGTCTTATGTGCAAAAAATATGCTTGCTGATAACGGGCCATTTACATGAGAATTGCTTTCATGTCAAAATGCTCTTTGTCATATCTTCCCCAGCTCAATGCTCTCAAAATGTCTTGGGATACAACCCCCCCTTAGCGCCTAGCAACATGGCCACTAGCCATTTATATATATCAAAACACATACAAACATACTTCCATGCCATAAATCTTCATTCCGGGGCAAAAAAAAAAGAGGTTCACAAGAAAAAAGGGTATCAAAGTTCTGCATTAGCAGAACTTCCATGCTAAAACCTGAAAATAAAGTTTTTAGTTGTATATGCAAGTCAGATACAAAGCAAAACAAATTACACATCAAATGTGGAAAAGTTAGGTGAGATCCAACACCAGCGCAGGTGGAGTACAACTTTTTATCATTGTAGTGAGATCAATGACTTGTTCTTCTACCGAAGTGTGCAAAGGCACTGGGAGATTCTCACAATGAACTCCAGCTCTGACCAGGCATGTAGCCGGGGGGGGGGGGGGGGGCGCTTGAGGGGCTTCAGCCCCCCTCCCCCCAAATTCTCATGGTGGTTCTCGAAAAGGCCTTACTGGTGCATTATTTAAACTGTTATGTTTATTCATATCATGATCTGATCACCATACTCAATATATCCCATATGCATGGGGGTATTGGGGTAACGATACAAAAGGTTTGCTAGGGTAGACCCTCTTTCACTCAGACTCAGCCCCCCGAAACTCAGCCCCCCCCGAACCCCCCTGAAAAAAACTCACCCCCCCCCCCGAAACGAAATCCTGGCTACGGGCCTGCTCTGACCACTAAGTGGCTGTGGGATTCATCCAAAAGTGGTACAGTTGTCCTTGCACCAGGTGGGTCTATGAGCTGAATAGCTCTAGATAAGAGAAGATTTGTTCCTAATTGTCCAGGTTTCTAAAAGGTAAACTCACTCTCTGTCTCTTTACTGGAAAAAACACAATTTTACTCTTAGTCCATAAAGAGAATTCTTTCTACATCCTATCCAGCTCACTGGAGAGTTGGGCACAGAACGCACCTTTTAGGGAAAGATGCACCAAAATGCATTTATTTGTCAGAGACTAGATGACAAAGAAGAGCAATAAGGAGATAGCTAAGTTTGGAGCACTACTAATCACATAACTGCATAGCCAGGTCAGCAGTAGCACTCTGCCCCATTGAAACACCCAGACACACCACACCAAGATCATCAATGGCTCTTTGTTCACCCTACTCCAGAAGTATTGGGGAGCATGTGTATAATTTCAAGATTTAATCTTCAAAGAGAGAGGTAATAAATCGGAGTATTTTTTGTCCCTGAAAGGGAATGTACAGTGCACTTCAAAATACCTTCAACCACATTATCAAAGGAGCAATGATAGCCAGAGGTCCATATCTTTTGAACACGACCTCAACAATACAGTGATTTTAAGAACGAGAAACTAAAAGAAATCAAAAGGTTTTTTGCTGACTGCAACTGTAGTTCTTTACCTATTTCTCTCATAGTCCATAACAGAAATATAAAACAATGAGAGTAGTAGAAAATTACTTGATTTGGTAAGGAACACTCCCAGTACCAGTGTCTTCTTTAGAACCAGAACTGATCAAAGCAACATAATGATGTGAAGGAAAACATATCTATGAATAGTCCAAATATCTTGGATCCCAGGCATATACTTCCTGTGAGATTCATCGTTCTGGTAACTTCAGACTCCAGTCCTTTCAAAAATCCAGTCGCGATAGTAAGTCACACGTGTATAAACTCCAGGCTTGTTTGGCCTTGCACATTCAGCACCCCAGCTCACTATGCCAACAAGGTACCATATTCCTCTGGAATCAGATGTAACTAGTGGGCCACCAGAATCACCCTAGTAGAAGAAATAAAATCATTTGTGAAATATGCAAAGTAATCAAGTGATAAAGTAAACAAGCCTAATGTGTACATCCCTGTGCCCAATCTCTAAAACTTTAACCTATAGCCACTATTTGAACAAATAGCTCCATTTCTGCAAGATGGTGAATCTTCCTTGGGTATTGGCCCGAACTTTAAAGGCAGTATCCAAGATTTGGAAGCCATTTTGGGAGGCAAGGTTCAGTTCCTTGGAACCTTTAAAGGTAAAATAATATTAAAATAGATTCACCACCCAGCTCATACTGAACAGGAAGCTTCCTCGACTGAGGCCATCATACAATGCAAGGCTACTTCTGCAAGGCTACTTTTGGATGCTGCCCAGAGAATATGGGAGGTTTCCCATGTCCCTGGGGGGGGGGGGGGGAAGGGGGGGCCTCAAGGAACGGGCATAGCTGGTGCACAAGTTTTAATTGTGCAAAACCTCTCCCGGCTACCGCCGAGACCTGGGGTTCCAGGCTCAGTGATGAGTCCAGGATCACTCCCAAACTGCGAACCTGTGTCTCCAGGAGGAGTGTAAACCCATCTAACACAGGCTGTAACCCTATCCCCTGTTCGACCTTTCGACTGACCAGGAGTACCTCTATCTTGTCTGGATTTAGTTTCAATCTTTTCGCCCTCATCCAGACCGACACAGAGGCCAAGCACTGATTCAGGACCTGCATAGCCTCCTTAGTGGGAAGGAGTGATAGAGCTGAACATCATCCACGTACAGATGACATCTGACCCCAAAACTCTGGATGATCTCTCCCAGTGGCTTCATGTAAATGTTAAACAGCATGGGGGACAGTACTGATACTTGCAGGACCTCACAAGTTAATGGCTGTGAGGATGAGCAGGTATCCCCCAGCAACACTTTCTGGGACTGTCCCTCAAGGAAGGACTGGAGCCACTGCAGAACAGTACTACCAAGTCCGATGTCCCTGAGGCATCCCAAAAGGATACTGTGATTGACGGTATTGAAGGCCACTGAGAGGTCTAACAGAACCAACAGGGACACACTTCCCCTGTCTAGTTCCTGGTGAAGATCATCTACTAAGGCGACCAAGGCTCTTTCGGTACCATGTCCTGGCTTTAGCCAGACTGTGCCAGATCTAGATAATCAGTGTCTACCAAGAATCCCTGGAGCTGTGAGGCCACCACATATTCCAAGACTTTGCCCAAGAAGGGGAGATTGGAAACTGGCTGAAAGTTGTTCAGTTGGGTGGGGTCCAGTGATGGTTTTTTCAACAATGGTTTTATAACAGTCTCTTTTAGGCTCGCTGGAAATTTGCCCTCTTGTAAGGAGGCATTGACCAAATCCCCTCTGGCTTCCTTTATCAGCCAGGATGGGCAGGGGTCTAGGATGCATGTGGTCGCTCTCCAAGAATCTTATCCACATCCTCAAGCTGTATAGATTGAAATGAATCCATTAAAACTGGACAAACATGTGCTCGTGTTACATCCTCAGAGACTGCCGTTAATATGGGGTCAAAGCTAGAGCCGATTAAAGCAACTTTGTCTGTGAAGAACCGAGCAAATGCTTCACCGTGGGCTGTTGAGTTGTCAGGGATCCCGTCTTGGGTGACAGGATTTAACAGACCTCTGACTACTCAGAACAGCTCAGCTGGATGGTTCTTTGCAGACGCAATATTGGCTGCATAGAAAGATTTCTTTGTAGCTTCTATTGCTGTGGCGTATTTAGCCATGTTCGATTTGACTCGTTAGGTTTTTTCTGCCACACACGCTCTAGTCTCCTCTTCATTCGCTTCATCTCTGCCAGCTCCTCATTGAACCAAGGAGATGGTTTAGCTTGGCTACTCGAGAGGAGACGTTCTGGAGCGATCTTCTACAGGGAGAGGTAGGTAAGAAATAAAATTATTATTACTAATATTATTATTAAAAATTGGATTGTCAACTGCCTTATATGACTGTATAAATGGGGTCTACACCTGCAAGTGCTGAGTTATAGCATGGGAGGAATGTGTAGTTTGGATGGATGGCACCACTACCTATGGTACAAAGGCTGCTGTCATCTAATATATACCTGGCAAGCATCACTCCCTCCTTCCAGGTATCCAGCACACAGCATGCCAGGTGAAATTGCTCTATTGTATACTTCCCTTCTATTGCATCTGTCATTACTTATAATTTTCACTTCTGTTTGACGAAGTTCACCAACACTGGGACCTGAATTTAAAAATAATAATATGGTTATTACCAAGACCAGTGATCTTTCACAGGAAGACTACACTGCACACTCTCTTAAAAACCAGTAGCTGCATATGGGCAATTACTCACCATCATCTACCAGTGCACCATATCCTGTGACATAGCAAGTTGTGTTTTCTGGAAAATTCTGCGTAGCTTCTGGAAGACAAACATGATGAACGGCCGATGTAAACTGTAAAGGGGGTGAGACCTTTACAACAGCAATATCATATTCATGACTTATTACACTGTTGGCATAATGTTCATGAATAATTATCTGTTGAAGAGCCCTTATCATTGCTGGAGTTCCTATACGTGCTCCAAAAGTACTTGTCCAACTCTTGGTATCTGAGACTCTGAAATTCAAATAATATAAAAATAATTAATTTTGCCAGACTTTAACCTCTCTAAGGGCTTTATAACAAACTACATTACAACCTCTTTACCACAGATTTAGTAATCACAGTTTCACCTATCAAAATCCAAAATATATTACCCCCAGAAGTGTTTATGGACCTCTCTAGGCCCTCCAGTGCTTTTACATGGTATGCTTTCTACCCAATTATAGTCCAGTTATATTATCCATGGTTTCAGGTATCCAAAAGTGTTTTGAAATGTATTTCCACTGAATATGGACATTGTGCTGTAATAACAAAGTAGAAAGGGCAGTTTTTAAAGAGACAACTCTTCCTCTGTCAACTGAGCTAGCTCCATAGTTCCTCCTCACAGACCTCTCACAACCCAGAACTAGCTTCAAGATGAGATAATAAAGCTACCTTAGAAGGAGAAAGCCTATGAAAGAGAAGTCTGGAAAAGAATTAGTGGGCAAAGAGAAGAATGGACAAACTCCAGCAACACTTTTCTACTCTCAACTTCACAATATGTAGCAGCTACTGTTGCAGCTGGTGGATTTGTGTGTTTATAAATTGTATGTGCTGATTTTAAAAACTTTGATATTGGAGTTTGTTGATATTGTATTGGAAGTTCTCACCCTCTAAAGCAGTGAGCTGCAGATACAAGCCAATTTTCGCTGATTATTGTTGCCCCACAGCGATGGATACCATTCAGCTGAAGACTTGCTTGCCACGGCCATTCCCCTTCACCTGCAATGCTTCCTCCAATGACCCTCTCAGTTTTGTCCATTCGTGTTCCACAACCTGCCAAAGAATACTTTTTTGCTCAATTTCCAGAAGACAGACTGTTAAGATTGTGCATTTTGAAAGACAAAGTTGCAATTTATTGGAGAATTCCTTGCATTTTTAAAAAATAGTTGGGCATCCATATTCACAGATTCTGCATTCATGGATTCAGCCAACTATGGCTTGAAAATATTCTCCATCCCCTCACCTCTTCCTCTCTCCCTCCCTCCTTCCAAAACAAAAAAAACAGTGATTTTGCTGTTTTATATAAGCGACTCCACTTTAGTACATCATTGTAAGGCTGGATGGCCATCTGTCAGGGGTAATTTGAATGCAATCTTCCTGCTTCTTGGTGGGGGGTTGGACTGGATGGCCCACGAGGTCTCTTCCACTCTTTGTTTCTATGATTCTATGATTGTAAATAATGGTAATTCACCATCCACAGATTTTGGTATCCCAAGGGGAGGAGTGGCTGGAACCAAAGCTCAGCAGATACCAAGGCTAGATATAATTTTCATGCAAAACAAATAGAAAAATAGTATTGTTGAAATATGAGAATCAATCAACTGCTATGCACATTTACATGGAAGAGATTCCCATTGACCTTAGTGGGTTCAATTTTTTTTTTGTCGTGTCAGGTGCGACCTGAGAAACTGCAAGTCGCTCCTGTTGTGAGAGAATTGGCCGTCTGCAAGGACATTGCCCAGGGGACGCCTGGATGATTTGATGTTTTTATCATCCTTGTGGGAGGCTTCTCTCATGTCCGCGCATGAGGAGCTGGAGCTGATAAGGATTCGAACCTGTGACCTGTCGGTCTTCAGTCCGGCCAGCACAGAGCTTTAACCCACTGCGCCACCGGGGGCTCAGTGGGTTCAATATCACCTCTAGATGATGATTCTATTGTGCAAATGTCCTAGCTCTTTCATAGTATTTTATGGTGGTTTTAGACATTCTATGATCTGTAGCCTTCTCCCATTTACCATACTTTCAACAATTGGGAAAGAGGCTCGATAATGACCTGGAATCTTGCACACATTGCCATCATGAACTGGACCTTCAAGGGAATTTGGGGAAACATGCAATTTTGCTCTCATGGAGAATTAGGGTAGGGATGCGAAGTATGGAGCTCCTTTGTACATCTTCCAAGTCACCTCCATATTGGTTTTCTATTTCCTTGTAGCTTCTAGGACCATTAATTTTCTCTAAAGCAGGTTTTATTTTCGGTAAAACTTGCGACTGCTTTTGTTTTTGAAAAATCAATTAAAAACATTTTTCATGGGTACGTACCAAGGTAAGGACCCTGGGGATTAACATTTTCACAAGATTGCTAAAATTATCTAGTCCTAATTAGATCAGGTTCATGCAAGCATCATCAGTATATGAATATAAAGCTAGAACATCAAACAGAAACTGCTTTCAGATCTGAGTACACTCATGTCTACCCAGGATTAAGAGTGTCTGGCATTCTATGTGTAATAGGTATAATCTCTTCACTCATTTATATGCTGTAGGAGGATGATTTTCTTTCCAATACAGGAACCATATATGGTTTCCATCAGTCACCAAGTGCAATGACCTTCAGGACTGAGCAGGCATGTTACTCACTGTCTTTGGGGGTTATTGATATTATGCTAGGTGATGATTAAAGCTCGGAAAAGCACTTCTTTTTACTACTGGTTCCACTATCCCCTTTCCATTCTTCCCAGTTTTCCAAGCTTAGTTTTCTGGTTACATATATAAAATAGTGGAATTAATCAGGAACAAGGCAAAAGTATAAGGACCCTCTGTCTAAGGGTTTGTTCCCGCCACATGATACAAAAATACATGCAACACTGCCTGCCTTTCGTGCCTTTTTAGGCACAAAATAATATCAACATTTATCACTTTCAAGAATTTTGGGAGACAATAACCATTGACATCATGAGACATACACAGAGATTGAATATACCTTTTGCACCAGATTTTAGCAATTGTTGTTTTTGAGATGGGGGATATCAATTAGCCAACAATGGAATAGAGATGGTTAAATGTTACAAAGTTTTGGCAGCCAACCTGAAAGGTGCTTTCTAAATCTTTGAAACCCTGAATAGAGACTGTGCTTTGCTACTTTCTATACTAGAGATGTAAATTATTGCTTATATCATTCTCACATGTAATTTCAAAAGATTTTCCCTGAGTTCATTTTTGCGTGATTTTTCACTTTAGCTGACTTTTTAAGAAAAATTTGTTTACACAAAAGAATCTTGAGCTTTGTGAGGAGGAAATTTATCCACACTGATTTTCACAACATTTTTGCACATAAGTGTATATTTCAGGAAAATATCCTGTTTTGTCTGAAAAAAATGTTTAAGCCATTCGTCTCCTCAGATATAGCTAGCTAGAACTAGAAACATAACATACTTTTATCATAAACGCCCAACATTTATGAAATCTGCTTTTATATAAGAATGGAAAGATGGGGTATCTTATAAGTCATAGAATAATATGACATTTGTTTCTAAGTGTTTGCAGACCACCTCCTTAACAATCTTTTCCAGAATCTTGCCTGGTATCGACGTGAGGCTGACCGGACAGTAATTGTTTGGGTCATCCTTTTTTCCCTTTTTGAAGATTGGGACCACATTGGCCCTCCTCCAGTCTGCTGGATCTTCTCCCGTTCTCCAAGAACTCTCAAAGATGGTTGCCAATGGTTCCGAAATGACTTCCGCTAGTTCTTTTAATACTCTTGGGTGTAGTTGATCTGGCCCTGGGGACTTGAACTCATTTAGAGCGGACAGGTATTCCTGGATGACTTGTTTCCCAATTTGGGGTTGGATGTCCTCTAATCCCTCATCCACTCCATTTTGCTGAGGTTGAAGATGACTTTCTTTTTGTGAGAAGACCGAGGCAAAGAAGGCATTAAGTAGTTCTGCCTTTTCCCTACCCCCTGTCAGTATTGCCCCATCTTCTCCTCGAAGAGGCCCTATCGCCTCCTTGTTTTTCCTTTTTCTACTGACATAAGAAAAGAAGCCCTTTTTATTGTTTTTAATGTCCCTGGCAAGCCTGAGCTCGTTTTGTGCTTTAGCCTTGCGGACCTTTTCCTACAGGTGTTGGCTATTAGTTTGAATTCTTCTTTGGTGATTTCTCCCTTTTCCACTTCTTGTGCATGTCTCTTTTGTGTTTTAGCACAGTTAAAAGTTCTTTGGACATCCATTCTGGCTTCTTTACACTTGTCCTATTTTTTTTCTTTGTTGGCACAGTTTGCAATTGCGCCTTGAGTATTTCACTCTTGAGAAATTCCCATCCATCCGTAACTCCCTTGTCAGAATCTGATCAAAGTGTGTGGTTATTAGCTGTATTGTTAATAATAATAATAATAATAATAATAATAATAATAATAATAATAATAGCACAAAGTCTCACCTGGAATCTTTATAACTAAAATAATGGAAAAAGAGCAGAACCTACAAAGACCCAGGCGAATCTTCTCACTTCCTTTCTGTTTATTTCCCCTTTCTTAGTAAAAAAAATTATGTTTCTTCCCAAGCAAGTATCTTCTCTTTGTATAATCTGATTAGCTCCTATTCGTTATAAAAGCTGATCCATTCCTGAAGAAGTGAGTGAAGAGGGAGTCAGTTCTAAGCCTCACCATACTTTTTCAAATCTCTCTTGCTGTGTGCAATAGAAGCCCTAGTTCTGCTACTAGGTGTAAATATGGCAGTACTGGGCCAAACTTCACCAACTGGGTGTTGTCCAGATGTTTTGAACTCAATTCCCATAAATCCACAGACTGCTGAGATTCACATTTTGGGAGCTAAGGATAATAACCAGGTTAGGGAAGTCTTCCCTTTCTCACTTCTACCAGCCTTCTTTCTGTACACAACCACATTTTACTACTTACACTTGCTGAGAAGATGTTCACCTTCTTGTGAATTAATTTCTGAAAAAGAAGACAACCCAAACAGTCATTTTAACATTGAATTATTTTCCTTTTTTCCTTGACCTCTTGTAAAACACAACGTTTACTGAATAATAAGGAAATTATTTCACCACACAGTTATTGGGAGTATTTTCATTGCACAGAGCATAGCAAAAATGGCTTTACCCAGGTAAAATATCTGAGGAATTGCAAACAGAGTTTTCAACAAGATTACTTCTGTTTCTTGAGATAGGGTGGTAGCAGTTTCACCTCCCTTACACAATTCAGTATCTAGAAGTAATGTGTGCCAGTTGTGCGACAAAATTATAATCTGCCAAGTGTGCTTCATTTCCATACAGTCTTATTTTGTCTGGAGAAAGTTATAATCCCTCATCATGCAATACAGAAATGTTCCCAGCTTGACATTTTACGTAGTGCAACTCATAAGATTAAGAAGTGAAAGACATTCAAAATTATCCAGATGGTTATCAAAATCATAGATTAAGGGCAATAATCTCTGGACAGACAATGTTATTACAAAAGCAATAAGAACATTGGTTTTCATTAATATATAAATTTCATAATTCATGTAATATCAGTAAGATGACACATCCCATTGTACAAAGTCCCCCTTTCTTTAAAATGTGGCAAGATCTATGTCTAATTGGCCATTCACTAGCTGGCAGCCTCCTTCTTTGCTTCAGCTCTACTCAGTTTGCAAGTTGCTACATTTCTCCTCCAGTTTTTGCACAGCAGGTCTGCACGGAATTGCAACATTCTTCCCGCCCTTTTTCTGGGGCCCTGCACAGCATTGCTACAGTTTGTTCAAGCAGCAGAAGCAAGCTTTCCCGCTCTTTTGAAACAAGCATTGTTTCTGCTTTGCCTTTCAGATTTCTGGAAAGGAGCGTTTGCAGTTTCTATTGGCTTTTTGCAGCCTTTCAGCAAGAGTTCAGTGTGCATCTGAATTATTGCATCTGCTGTGTTTATTCTCTGCTTTAAAGTTATAAGGTTTTGAGTGTGTTTGCAACTGCATTTATTGAATTGCTTGCTCTGTCCTAACTGCATTGCTTTAAAGTGATAAGCCATTTGTGTGTGCGCATTATTGCTTTGATATATTGCTTGTTTTATCTGTTATATCTGCATTCTTACACTGACTGCTTTGTAATTGCATTGACATATTGCGTTGCTCTATTGACTGGATTATTACTATACTGACATTATTTGTTATTGTGATTGTATTTCTATACTGTTTGGGCAATTCGCTGTCATGGCTAACATCTCAGGTTCCCCAAAGTCTGAAGGTAAAGCTTATAGCCTCCGTTCCCAGGGTTCTAGACACCCATCGCACAAAGCCTTATATGCGCTTTTACAGCAGGAATCTTTGCTTACAGATAAGCTTGAAAGTGTATGGCTTTCTATTGTTGACCTCGACAGCCAGCGTTCTGAGGATTTGGAGAAATCCCAGGAAATTGAGGCAGAGCTTAAGATTTTGATTAATAAGTGGAGAGTTTTAGTTAATGACATCACTCAGTTGCTTAGTAGAATAAGCAACCAGGATGCAGATTGTAGGGCAATCCAGTTTTTGAACAGCGTTAAGACTAGGGAGGCTAGCTATGCTCATTTGTTTTATGCAGCTGACTTTAATCCCTCCCCCAGAAGGGACAAAGATGGTCAAGCTTCGCCCGTTGGCAGCGTGATCCCAGAGCCGCTTAAGCATTCCCCAAAGGCTTTAAGTGTGCAGAGCAGTCAGGGAGGTGCTTCTGGCCAAAGCAAGCACAGCCACACCAGCAGGAAGTATAGCAGCAGACATGGCTCCGCGTCAGGATCGTCTGTCTCCAGAAGCAGCTCCTCATCTATGGCGGCCTTTTACAACAGGGAAACAAGGCGTCTCAAACTGCAAGAAAAAATTCTCGAGGCAGAAGCTGAGACAGCAGCGGCAGACCTAGGCCTGAACTTCGAGCGGGCTCAACTAGAGTTAGAGGCGACGCAAAAGCAGTCACAAGCCGAGTTAGAGGCGAAGCGAAAGCAGTCACAAGCCGAGTTAGAGGCGAAATTAAAGTTGTCGCGCATCCAGCAGGAGGCAGTGCAGAAAAGAGTCCATGCCAACATCTTGGCAAAGGCGCTGCAAGGAGAACTTTCTCAAGAAAATGTCAACCTTTTGCCAACGCCTCCAACCATGCCTCTTCTGCCAGCCCACGTTGGTTTCCAAGACGGCAACCTGGTGCATGCAGACAGCGACATCGCGCCACGCAGGCTGGTCGAGCAATTCAGGGCCAGGAGCCCACAGCCGCCAATTCAGGCACCAAAGCCTAGCCCAGAAATCAGAGTTTCGCCCATTCCTGAGGCCACAGGTGTTCCTTGGAATGGACCTTCTAGATTTCAAAAGAACTTCACCTTTACCCCTGACCAAACACCCCTTCCGTTCCTTCAGACTCCTCAGTCGCAGTTTGAGTCTTTGTTTAGGAACCCGAGAAAAGATTTGAGGGACAAAGGTGTGGAGAAATTCTCTGACCGGCCAGAAGATTTCCTACTTTGGAAAAAGACTTTTCAGCGAGCCATTCAGAGTTTAAGACTCTCCTCTGAGGAACAATTGACTCTTTTGATCGCCTGGCTTGGTCCAGTATCGGCTCAGCAGGTGAGAAGGATTTTCTCGGCTCTCATCGACCAACCAGATAGAGCTTTGGACACTGCATGGACAAGGCTTGATCAGCGCTACGGGACCAGCACCCAAATTGAAGCCTCGCTGATGGACAGACTTCATAAGTTCCCAGTGCTCAAACCTAAGGACTTTGAACAGCTTTGGGACTTGTCAGACTTATTGATTGAGCTTCAGTCTGCCAAGGGAAACTCACAACTTCCAGGGTTTGCCTGCCTGGACCAACACCTGTCCCAAACTGCCATCATCCAGAAGCTGCCATTCTCCTTACAAGAAGAGTGGGGCAAAGAAGTCTTCAGATTCAAACAGGCCAACCATCAGGTCTACCCACCGTTCGCACATCTTGTAGATTTCGTCACAAATGCTGCCATGCAGTTCAACGACCCACAGACGGGATTTCCAACTCTTTATGGGACTCCAAGGTCGGATAGGCCCATCAAAGAGCCCGGGAAACCTGCAAAGGACAGTGGCACAGAGAGAAGCATCGCCGTCAAGTCCACGGAGACCAACTCATCTCCAGCTGACCCCAAGAATGTTTTGTGCCCACTGCATGCAAAGCCCCACAGTTTGGCCGACTGCAGGGATTTTGCTAAGAAGCCTCACTCAGACAAGGTCGAGATCCTCAAAAGATCCAGGATCTGCTTCAGGTGCTGCGGTGCAACTCCCCACCAGTCAAAGTCATGCAAAGAAAAGGTGAAGTGCGAGGTGTGCCAATCCGAAAGGCATTGCTCAGCTATGCATGACAAGGATTTCGTGCCCTCCAAGGTCAAGAGTGGAGCCACAAGTCCACGCTCCCCAGAAGCTTCCCCAGGAGATTCAGCTGGACCTTCATCGGGCACTGAGGCACCCTCTGTGGCCTGCACACAGCTGTGCGGCAGCCCAAAGAAGACTAGGATTTGCCACCCCATTTGTTTGGCAGAGGTTTTTCCTGCCAGCAAGCCATGGATGAAGAAGAAAATGTATGTGGCCCTTGACAACCAAAGCGATGGTTCCCTGGCCACCCCTGACTTCTTCAAAATCTTTAAGGGGCAGGCAACAACTATTGACTATTGTATTTCTACTTGTACAGGCAAGCAACGAAGACAGGGCCGCGTTGCATCTGGATTTATCATTTCGCCATGTGGCAAAGACATTCGTTTTGAGTTGCCTGACCTTATTGAGTGTGCGTCCATCCCACGCAATAAGGACCAGATTGCTACCAGAGAGATGATGCAAGCGCATACTCACCTGAAAGGATTACAAGACCTCATTCCACCCTTTGAGCCGGGCATCGACATAGTCCTGCTCATTGGATCCAACTGCCCCAGTTGATGAGCATCCGAGCTGAGAAGAGAGGTCCTCCTGGTGCACCTTTGGCACAGAAGACTCCATTAGGATGGACCATACAGGGACCTGTATGTTTCGACAGAATGCATCCTCCATCTTCTCTGTGTCCAGATCAGCCAAACACCCTCAGCTGTGGCAGAGTCACCCTCATGCATAGTTGCCTCAGCCACATTTCTATCTGCTGCCTAGGAGTTTCATCTGAGTTCTCATCCATCTTCGACGTGTCCCGGGATGATGAGAACACAGCGCTCTCCCAAGATGAGCAAGCATTCCTGAACATCATGAACTCCGAGGTCACTCTCAGTGAGGAAGGGAATTGGATCGCCCCTTTGCCCTTCAAAGCAGACCGGCCTACCCTGCCTCCCAACAGACAGGTAGCAGAGAAGAGACTGCAGTCTTTAAGACGCAAGATGCAGCATGATCCGAAAACCAAGCAGCAAATCGTTCAGTTTATGGACGACATGTTTACAGCAAAGTATGCTGAGCCATCCAGCCCTGGCTCAGACAAAGAAGAGTCTTGGTTTCTTCCCTTCCATAAGGTCACTCACCCGCAGAAGCCGGAAAAGGTGCGCATTGTGTTTGATGCCAGCGCCAAATGCAAGGACATCTCATTGAATGACGTGCTCCTGAAGGGTCCAGACCTTCTGAACAGCCTTATCGGGGTCGTGCTTAGGTTCAGGGAATCCAAGTATGCCGTCATCGCTGACATCTTCAAAATGTTTTATGCGTTCCTGGTCACACCGGAACATAGAAAGTTTTTAAAGTTTTTATGGTTTAAAGACACCCAGGCTCTAGCGGATGTGAAAGCCTTCCAGATGCGGGTCCATGTGTTTGGAAACACTCCATCCCCTGCTGTGGCCAACTATTGCCTGCGGAAGACTGCTGAAAGATTTGGACACTCCTTTGACCCTCGGGTCGCCCAAGTCATCAATCAGAACTTTTATGTTGACGATTTGCTCGTGTCCTTTGATACAATACAATCTGCAGTTTCTACGGTAAAGGATGTCCAATCTTTGCTGAGAAAGGCCAACGTCAGGCT